TCAAAATGTTCGTAGACTTTCAGGTACTTTTCACGAGATTTACTAGGCAAGAAACTTAGTTCAGCATTTTTAACAGTTTCAACTAACTCTGGAGGAGTTAAAAAATTGTCGTCTTCACTGGAATCGCTCATATTTTCTATTTTATTACGTAGGTAGGTATCCAATTAACTATCAAAGAAGTACCTATCGCAAGCAAATAAGAAATTTTGAATTAAAAAAAAAAGAAAGCGCGCTTTTATTTATTGCGTTCCGGAACGTTCTCGCTTGTATTCATTGAAATCACACATTGTAAATATTGTTATCTTTAATTGACGTTATAAATTTAGCATATTTTTATTGCAACACTTGCTTTATTTTTAATGAAAATTGTAAAAACTAAATTATCATAGTATAAAATCGTATTTGTATTTCTCACATAATTTATCTTTTAGATGAATTGACGAGTTTCCGAACGAGCACTCGTTCAGCCATTTTGTGGGGGTCTACTATGTAGCTTAAATATCGAAGTACGAATAAACCATAATTTTCTTTTTCCTTTTTCTTGTAATGAAGTGAAAGGGACGGAGCGACTGATTTTGAAATATGTCGAATTTGTATTAGACCCCTTCGCATTAAATGACAAGTCTCCACTTAAAAAGCAAAAAGCTACTTTTTCTCACGGAGTGAGCAAAATAAGATTTTGCTCACTGATTTCACACAGCAAAATAGCCTTGTTCGAGCTGCTGAGGTGAAAAATATTTTTTCAAATGGCTAATTAAATACAATTAAAGTTTCTGTATAAAATATGTTACATTTTTCGAAGATAAAATTAATAAATAACATAAATAAATATTAAATAACAGCTCATACATTGCTCAGAGCCCAACGTTGCACTAGTGTTATGGAAATCGGAAACAAGGACGGTATAATAAACACCCATACCCGAGACTATATAGAAAAGTTAGTTTTTCTACATTCACCCGCCCGGGGATCGAAACCGGGAACTTAGAGACCTTCGCGACACCATGAAAACCGGTATGCAAGGCACACGACCGCGGAGGTCGTCATCGAAATGCATTAAACATATTATTATTCGATAATATATAGCTCTCTCTAAGAATAAAGTAAGTGTTAGTTAGATAAGTAGTTGAAGTGTTAGTAGCTAGCATGTTAAAATTTTTAAGATTGTTTTGTTTTTATTTATAAAATATTCAGTCTCTGCCGTTGTTTGCTTTAACTGCCTCCGTGGCTGAACGGTTACCATGCTGGACTGCCACGCAGAGGCCCCGGATTCGATTCCCGGGCCGGGAGAAATATTTGTATTTATGCATTTATTTCTTTCGTGAGTTTGGGTGTAATTTGTGGTTGTCTATGTGTGTCCATGGCATCCACGACACAGGGTTTACCAAGGTTTTTGTTAAAATATATATAACGTGAAAAAATACAACTTGACATGAAGAGAGTTCTACGAGGTAACAAAAAAAAACTCTCAATGTCACACCGGCCAGTATATAAAAGATTGCACATCCATGCTCTGACACTCCTCAATTATTTACACTTGGCTTTCCTTACACTATCAAAAAAATCTTGTCAGTCATGAACACTCAGTACACACCCATTCCTCTACGGCAAAACTGATACTTACCCTTTAACACTGCTTTCGTTAAAGCATCAGCAACCACGCACTAGGTTTTTATATACTTGAGCTTTATAGTATCCTTTTCTAATGTGTCTCTAATGAAATGATAGCGAACATCAACATGATTTGTCTGCTGATGTTGCACTGGATTTAGGGCTATTGCCATAGCAGATTGACTACCTGTATGTGTCGTGATAGGCAACTTCACATTGCCCATGATTTCATTAAGAAATCGATGTAGAAATATGGCTTCTTTTGTAGCTTCTGATAAGCTGACTCAGTTTCAGCTGTCGATAACGCTGTACATCTTTGCTTAGTGCTCCGCGAAGAGATATTTCTCCAATTGCCACCTTGCCGGAGTATAACCTTCTTTCTACTATATTCCCAGCGCAATCAGCATCTGCAAAACCTTGAATGTTTCTTCAAAACACGTGTCTAGAGTATACAAGTCCCGTGCTCTTGGTACCCTTTAAGTATCTCTAGATCCTTGTAGCTGCGATCCAGTGTACTTCATATGGTTGTCGAGTCTGTTCGCCCTTCAAACAAGCTACACAGTATAGTTGACTACTACAAAATTAGGAAAACTCACCCTAATAGCTAGTTTATCTCAAAGTAAAGTGAGCTTACGAATACCCAAGTGTGCCATCCTTTTATGCCAAAGCTCCAACTCATTGCTTACTCCTGTCACCATTCCGATGGCTGTTGAAAGCATTTAAGTTTATAAACGCCTCTATCAATTACTCCTGTCATACATGGTTGACCCTGTATCATACAATCACTCATATTGAAGACCTAGCATCCTTTTTTTAGGGAATACAACAACTTTATCTTTTGTATTAACAATATAGCTTACACTCAATAGATTAGAAGCAAGCCCTGGTACATACATGACGTTACTTACACCAATGCCATTTTTTACTGTACCAAAATCCTCTCCATATAATTTACCTCCATTTGCGCAACACACTTCCTTCCTACTTTCATAAAATTATTCATCTAATCTCTCCTATAGCTCATATGTGTTTATGTTCCGGAATATAAAATCCATTCATCTTCATTGTTCTTTTCTAGAACAGAAGTCAGTGCCGTTGCCATATGACTGGTCTTGGATTGACGTGGATTCTGCGGGCAGTCGTAAGCTTTATGTGGTCCCTCACATACGAAACACTTTACGATTTTCTTTGTTCATCTGAACAGGTTCTGTATACTTTTTTACTGAAGTAAGTGCCTAACTTTGCCCTGGAGTGTTCGGACCTGCGCAAACTATGCTCTCATCTAGTTGTAACAGTTGTGTTTTAATATAATCAGTGGTTAATGCTATGTTAGTATTCTCTAATGCCAACCTCATACTCCTCTGGTAATCCCTGTAGCATCAGTGCCGCTAACAATTCATCATCATAATTATTACTACAAAGATCGAACACTCAGAAAAAATTCCCTCGATACGGCCGGATTCGAACCGACGTTTTCTAGCGTACCGTGCCAGACGCTATACCAACTAAGCCACGGAACGTACCAGCAGACCTCACGAATCTTTTTATGTTTTTGTTGTCGTGTCTTTGGATTTGGTTTTTTCAACGACTTTTTAGTCGTAGTGCCATCTATGAAAGTTTTATCTCCCAGTTAGATATCTTTACAGCTACCGGTCCTGGCGAGAGATGTCGCTATTTATTTTGTGAAATTACTCCACTAGTTTGTTTATAATTATTAATACAAAGATCGAACTCTCAGAAAATATTCCTTCGATCCGGCCGGATTTGAACCGACGTCTTCTAGCATACCGTGGCAGACGCTATACCAACTAAGCCACGTAACGAACAAGCGGACCTCACGTATCCTTTGTCCTCATATGCTGGTTTCGGACTCTTCCACGTCTCATACGTCGTTGTTGCTTTGCGTACATGTGTACCTTACAAACGTCCTCAATAAGTAGACACATTTTTGTGCGTGCTTTTTTGATCACCTCGCTTAGCAACTGGATCATCATCAGCGGGCGGACTCTCAACATATTGCCATAGATCTTCATGGGTTAATACGAGTATATACTCAATATCAAACTTCCAACTGTCAAAGTTGCTACTTCCTTGTAGCTCTCTCTCAATCCCAGGAAGTCCAAACCCCGACATTGTACTCATTTCTCCAACTAGAGTATTATTTATAGGAATTTGGTTAATCTCATCATTAATCTCTCTACGATTCATATCACATAATCACGTTCGTACACTCTTTGCGCTAAATCTGTTCACTCAATATTTAGAAGCTGCTAGTCTTTAGAGCTTTAGAGCTTCTCCGGCTCTATTAATAAATGAGGAAACTGATTTTAATATTTTAATAAAGGTTCTTATTAAAATATATATAACATGAAAAAATACAACTTGACTTGAAGAGAGTTCTACGAGGTAGCAAAATAAACTAAAAAAAATAACTCTCAATGTCACACCAGCCAGTATGTAAAAGATTGCTCATCCATACTCTGACAAAGACAATATTTTTAATGTGAAATTTAGCCCCCGTGCTGATGAAGTAAGTTAGACTTTTCAATAAAGAAATTTAAAAGTTTATATAACTGTAGATGTCGTCTGCTGTATTTACGAGGAGTATTCGTTATCTTTTCGTTATCCTCGATTCGTCCGAGAGGGTCGATTTATTGCCATAAATTGAAGGCGATAATTTTCAAAGGCGTTTGTGTCCAATGAATGAATAAAGCATGAATAACATTGCTCGGCGATACTATACAACAATCACTCTCTTATTATACAAATTCTGCTGGGTTATTAGGCATATATTATTATATGTATAATGTTTCTTTAAAATTAAATTGTAATTTAAACTCCTAACTCTGTATAAAGGTCATCAAATAGACTTGAGCATCCGCCATTCCGCGAAATTTTAATACAGTAATAATTCAAACAATAATGCAAACGCCACCCATTAGTGCCACCTTTTTACGGTCCAATAGAAACTTGTCATACTTTATAAATAAACTTTATGATACAAGAAGTTAATCATACTTACGATAAGAGTAAAATAGAAAAGAGTTAGTTATCTATCTAACAATAAATAATGTACCTAAATTTAAATTGGGTTAGGTACATCCACTCAAGCAAACATAAAGAGGATTTAAAATGTTATGTAGCTAACTATATCTAGAAGAAGGTACTAATAATATATACTAACTATAATTACGATATCGTACAATAAGTGAAGCACGCTTAAATTTGTTTCTCCTACAACTTTTGATATAGCAATTACACCAAAATTACAAATTGCAATAATAAATCCACATCTGTGTGCACCATAGATACTATATCTATCTATGGTGTGCACATTCCAAGTAGATAAATAATTACATGCAAAGGAAAGTTAACAAAAAGAAACTTACCCTTGACAACAATGCTTCGCGGTAGCATCACGGGCATCGGTGACTCTCATACTTCGGATGGTCATTTTGAGAAACTGAAAAATAAAAGAAAATACGTTATGTTCCGTCATCTATATTCATTACTTGAAGAGGATTTCAGGATTAAATCAGTGCCAGCGCTAGCCCATGTAGTGCCCGGGTACATGCAATACCCTGGCGCTCTCTAGTAGGCACGCGATCAAAATGGGATACCTACAGATAAAATTTTCCCCAGTGATCGGAAATTCGAGTGCAAGCGATGCAGTTATAAATTATGTCGGTAAACAATAGCCCGTTTACTTCCATAGGCCGCCCATTAACGACACAGACTCTTTGAAGGCGTAAGCCCCCGCTACCGTGTGCGCCACACGCTCTGCATTATAGGTAAAGCCGGCACTGAATTTAACATTTGAGGGAATCCTCAAACCGTCAAGGGCTACAAAGGTCGATTTAGCGTCATAATCCCTTTTATCTATTCTAACCTTTTATCTAATAGTATCTACATAGTTATCCTTTGTGTTGGGATTTGGCACGTTAAGGAAATTGTTTGAGCAAAGGTCGTACATAAGATTGTCAACATACATAAACAAGCAAGAAGGGTTGGTTGACTTAGATGTTAATTCGTGAGGTTTGCTAGTGAATCTAATTTTGAAATTTTTGAACCCAAAATACTTCGTGTTACAAATAAGTGATTCGGAATATAAAAATAAACTCAAAGATAAACTCAATCACAATTAAAAAGTCAGCGGTAATGCTCGGATAACATCAGAGAAAGAAAACTATATGGAAGTGCCTATAGTACTGAACTATACCTGTACGGTCTGTCTGTACAATTCAGTCAGGAGATGTCGTCTGCTCACGTCAGAGGTTTAGTCAGGACTGCCTCGTTGTCATTTGTCAAAAAAAAGGAAGGTCTGTCGTCGTCTTTTGTCCAAAAGCAAGTCGGTCTAATTTCGAATTCCTGTCAGTCTAGTCCATCTATGTGGCCTGTCAGTCTGGTCATCCATAGAGGCTGGACGCATTGACAACATTTCAAATTTGTAATGGTATAAAAATTAAGAAACCATTTAGAGATTTGGTTGTCACACGACATTTATTTTTCAGAATTTATTATGCACGAAATTATGTGATATTTACAAATAACCTAAAAGTAACCAAAAATGAACGGCAAAGGATTTCAAACACTAAATTCCTTTGCTATGATTTTTTCTTTTATTATTGATTTTTGAACGTGCGTACGTCAACGGTTGACTGTTATGAGTTATGACAGTGAGAGACAGAAAACTAAATCGTTGCTTAACCACTTTATAACTTACTTTCTCCAAAATTCCCCCGCCCCATTAACATAAACAACCTCTTAACTTTAGTGTTCTCCCCCCATATTGTTACAAATATTGTTTTGCTGTTTTGTTTTACATTCTCAACTGAGTACTCCCGTAGTCCAACTTACCAACACCGGTTAATGTCCTATTAGAGCTTAGCGAAATTTTTTTTTTGTTTCGTTTTTTTTCTTTCAACTGTGACATTGGCAAAATCATCAGTTCTCATATTGATGGAGCCATAAAAATAAAAAGTGAAGTGAAATTCACCGGTCAATTTTTGAATAAAAACCTTAGTAGACGGAAAAAAAGTAAAAACGAGTGTGTTCCTCAACTTAACATTGGCGAAACCATCGATTGCTTCGATGGGGCCATAACATTTAAAAGAAGAAGAAATAATTATTGATTTCAAGTTTTTAGTAGTTTTCAAAAGTTTTCTCGTGGTTTTGCGTAGGGCAGCCGAAATGAATGAAATTTAAGACGAGTAAGTTTTAAATCGAGACCCCCTAAGTGTAAAAATAAAGTTATAACCTCACCAAATAAACGATTTTTTCCACGTTTATGACTTTAGTAAAGAACCATTCCTCTTTAGTTGCTGTGGCTAAGCCGAAGGTTCCGAAAGAATCACTCTTTTGTTGTGAAGATCATTTAAATGCAAGTACCTACTCCCTACTCATATACGTACGTACTTTTAATTTTCAATAGTTGTTTACTTCAGGTACAACTGATTATTTTCGCTTTTTGTGTTTGCTTAGTTATTGGCGGCACTTAACGATTTAAAAACCTTATAAGTTCATAAACATTGCGCTCTGGGGATTTGTTGTGTAATATCCTTGAAGTAACAAAAACCAACCTTTCTAAATTTCCTTTAGATAGGAGAGTTCTAAGTTATAATGAATGGATATCAAAAAATGTTTCTGGGAAACTGAAGACAAGCTCCAAAATGGAGAAATATTTTATCAAATTCTGGAGCAGAAGAAACAGCTAGCACAAGTTTCACATTGCAAGTAATAGAACTGACAGATAAAAGAAGTATGTGCCAACCTGAAACACAACTTAAATGTCCAAATCAAACCAGAAACATCTGATTGCTGTATTGGAAGTAACAAGCATTTATTGAAGAAGACTAAAAACCTTATTTAATATCATTTAATAATTTGTTAATGTTACTGTTTACTTAGAGTCATAAACAGGAGGTAAATAAATTATGAGCTATTAAAAAATTCAAAAATGCAAATTATTGGAGGAGGGTGTGCGTCTCTCTCTCTCTCTCTCTCTCTCTCTCTCTCTCTCACTCATACATTTGGAATAAATAGATAGTAGTTTGTTTGCCGTGTTTTATAGTTTACTGCTCTGAAAAGAGAAAAACTTTTGAGCAAACGATGTTATTACCGACACCATGTTATGTACATACCATATAATTTCGGCGCTTTAATGCAAACCTGTGTTTCGGAATATAAACCACTTATGTGACCTATCGTAAGATGAAGAAAAGAACATACAACTGTTTTACGGTCAACACTTCGGCCTCCGAGTAAAGATCTCTCGTTGAGAACAGACGTGGCTTAAGAAGTGCCACTTTAAGGGTGACTCGCTGGGACCCCTCTCGACCTCTAATATACGCGTCTTTGGTATTCTGCCCAATACAGTTATGCAATAACTAACTACAGACTGACATAATGCTACATACACCGTTTTGAAAACCTGGCGATCACCAATATGCCTTATACTTTTTAATACGTAAGTGAGTTTACGAACTTTATGAGCAACATTTGTTATATGTTCGTCAAACCACAAATTTCTGTCCAACGTAACGTCATGATACTTGAAGCTTTTCGTATCTTGTACACGCCGGCAATCACAGATTAAGTCGGTTAAACCAAAACAGGAGTGAGCAACTATGCAGTGGCCTCATATATTTGGATTTAGAGGCATTCAAAGTTAGGATATGTAGGGTCAGCCACTGACAAATAAGGTTAAAACCCTGTTGCGCGAAGGCAAATACTGAATCCCATGTGTCACCGAAAAAAATAAGTGTGGTATCGTCGGCGTATGAAATAATATTGCAATTTTCGACATTAACCTTACATATATATATCATTTATATAATAGAAAAACAGAGTGGGAGCGATTATACTTCACTGAGGCACACCGAAACCCACAGAACATTCACTACTTACAACATCATCAATTTTTGTCGGAAATGCAACTTTGCAGGAATTGTAACTGTGAGCCCCTTATTTCTAATTTTTCCAGGTTTGACACGAGTAGGCGAAGAGAGACCGTGTCAAAAGCTTTAGCCAAGTCTAGAAAAATTAACATCTTTGCATACTATCAGGTTTTTTAACAATAAAATCAACGAGGGAATGAACTGCATTATTAGAAGACCTACCCTTCCTGTATCCAAATTGTGACTTTGAGAGAAGATTCTTGGTTTCCAAAAACCCAATTAACCTTGAATTCATAATCTCTTCTAATATTTTTGATAGTATAGGTAAAATTGATATAGGGCGATAGTTACACATATAGGTACAGTCCCTCCTACCTCCCTTATGCAGCGGGTGACAGTCGATTTTTTTAGCGCTTTTGGAAAGACTCCTTCCAAACACCTGTTAAAAAGAATAATAATAGGAGGCGTAATGTAATTCTTAATAGTTTTTGGTATTTTACTGTTTATTCCATCCCATCCCGCACTGCTACTAGTCTTTAGGTTGAATAAAAGAGTCAGTATTTGGATGAGAGACTTAGAGGACAATGGTGGAATATTTGGAGAAATCTTATTGCTAAATCAGCAGCGACATGGGCTAAAAAAATATCCACACTGTTCAACGAATTTTCTGGAGTAAATTCCACAGATAGAAGTTCCTGTGGGAAAACCCTAGGCTGCTTAATGTGAGTAATATTTTAATACATTTCCAGAAACTTTTACTTTATTTTATTTTATTTATTTGGATCAAAATAAGATCTTCGAAGAATTTGATGCAGAACATTTTTCTAAAAATTATACTGGCTAATTGAGTATCTTGAAAAAAAGTGTTGTTTATTAATTACATATTATATTTATATTCGTTTATTTCCAGTAGTATTAACACAAAATTATATATTACAAGTTTATACTATAATCAATACCTTGTACATTATTATGTATTATCATTGTATTACAAATAGCATTCTCTCTTTTTAATTGCACATACCCAATACAGAATTTTACGTAGGAATCCCTCGATGAAACCAGCATTTGGGCCCAGCGCATTTACAATGTTTTACGAGTAGTTTTTTCGCATGTACTGCAACAGCATCATCAAATCTAAATCTACCGGAAGATTTCAGATGTTTGCCACAACAAATCCGTCCCCAAGTTTCATGTTTTCATGTAATTTCACAAGAATCGCAAGTAAACAATCCTGATAGTGGCACCCACTCGCTATCCACAAACAAAATAAGTAATATGACATTTCTGTCACTTTTTCTTCTTCTTCCTGTCCTTATCCCACGCGAGGTGGGGTCGGCACAACATGTATTTTTCTTCCACTCTCCCCTGCTGGCCGTCATTTTTATACTCACACTTTTCTTATCCACAATCCATGCATCTTTTCTTTGGCCTTCCTTTCCCCTTATATCCCTCCACATTCATACCTAGCACTCTTCTCGTCACTTGACAGTCTTCCCTCCGCATGACATGTCCATACCACGCTAACCTATTACTCCTCATCTTTTCCGTCCCTGGTGCCGCTTTC